AGCTGCAATCTGCAGAATTACAAGAGTTGCCTGAGATATCATGAGAAACGCTCGTGAGTCGACAGTTCTCATCTGCGCGGCATTGCGCATCCACATATCGTGAAGGGAGTGTACCAGAAAATTCTGGGGCAGAACTGGGAGCATCTTAACCAATCGGCACATTGTCCAGGTCAAGCCTCAAAGAACCGCTCGAGTCATAAGTCACCATCTTGTTTTCAAAAGAATGAAAAAACTGATGATCATCTTCAACTGAAAGACGAGGTCGCTCGCTATTCCGCCTCGCGGCCGGCCACGATTTGAAGGTACACCCCAGACAGATGTAGGTTGAACGTATTCCTCCGGTCTGAAAATAGATTCCTGTAGAAGAAATAACCCCTCACTGCATTTCCGTGCATGGAAATCGCCCGACAAGGGCACTAGAGCCTTGAAAAGTTAGTTACAGCAGCCACAATATCCCGCCCGCTTCAGGCTGTTGTCTGATGCCCTCGCAATTGTTCGCTGTCGCCTCATGCTCTCCTCTCCGCGCTAGGTTTCTCACTGCCTTGCCACAGCCACATTACAAAGGCTAGTAAACGAACATGGTGAATATACGGAATCCCAATAAATGAAATAGGAAATGGATAACTTGTAAAAGTATTACAGGACTTCTTTCTAACCAATAGTTGATAGCTTCCTGTGGGTGTTACGGTGGTTTCCCAAAGGTGGACCGAATGTTAGCAATACATTTATAAACCACATTTTTTAAACAATTTCATAGCAATTTTGATCTCGAACCTATAACACTAATAGATTCTAAACATATGATTTGGAATTTAAAAAAATCCTTTCAACTATCAAGCTACTATCATCATTCGTCATCGGACATCCGAGGAAGTTCCGGCACCGGGTATCCAAGGTGAGCATCCTTCTCTGGCCAGTCGTACACATCAGTTATCGAAGGTTCATATTCATAATCATAGATCTGCTGACGAATAAACATTTCCTAAATATTCTTAATTTCAACATTTATCCACAAATTCCCTATAAAAGCACCCAAGCAAACCTAAACCACACAGACCTTATCCT